GTTCTTGCACACACACACCTCACCTGTTCTCCGCGTTCCTCGTATAATTGGGAGGCAATTAAGCGCGACTAACGGCTGAGGCTAAAGCCATTATGGGCCCGCATATTGAATCTTAAGCGCGCGAATTAGCCGCTGTTAAAGGGCGCTCTGGGGCTAATTAATAATCGCTAGAATTGGCCTAAGCCGGCCCCATTCTCAATGAGCCTCATTGAGCGCGAGAGTTCCGTGGAGCTCGGAACGGGGATCAAGGCGGGGGATAATTCTCGCTCTCACGGCCTGAGGGGGTGAGGGGGAGGATCAGTCGTGCCCCCCCTCAAAACGGGGGGAGATGGGGGGGGGCCTTCACGGGGACTGCGAGAGGCGCCAAAAGTCGCCCTCCCCTGCGTCTCGCTTCACAGTTTTCACTGGCGCCGAAGTGGCGCAGCAAGAGCGGTGGGTTCGTGCGTGGCTGGAACCGTCGCCCCGCTCCCCACCCCCGAATGTGCACAATGAGAAGAAGAGAAACAAAAAAAGGACTTGCAGGTTATTACTGGATTGGAATTGACAAAATGAAACAAATATCGCCCCCCCGCCGCCGTACAAGGCACGCAATATTCCTACCACGAGACCCACTGCAGTTTTCACCCCGTACCGCACAGGGATAGCTGCCGTGAGCGGGTTCCCGAGGCTAAAACAAAGACTGCGCTCTGAGACGTTTTATTACTCCCGTATATTTATGTTCTGATTGTTTTAATCCAAAGTTGTTTTTGATACTGCAATGGCAGTGGTGCGACACACAAATAACAAAAACCATTAACACATTCGTGAATGACACTAACCTGTGTACAACATGAAAGGGCGCCACGGTGGCTCGGAGATGTTAACTACCTCGCCTGGTATGCAGGAGGTCGTCGGTTCAATCCCGACCATGACGCCTGCTGTTGTATATTTGGAGTTTGCGCATCTCTCTCCCCGTGGTTGCATGGATTTTTCTCCGGGTCTTCCGGTTTTTCCCTCCACATTTATAAACAACATCACGTGTTTAGAGTATTTGACTGCCCCTATAAATGTCCACGTGGTAAGCCACTTCGTTGAGCTATTATTTGTGGCCAGGTCGCTTCTGAAATAGAGCTCTACAGCTCAGTGGGCATTACATGGTAAAATAAAAAATAGTTTAGTTTGTATCTCCAAACAGGCAGAATCATCCACATTTGTGCTCTTTCGACACCCCATTATGGCTACGTTCAGCGAGTGTAAGAAGTGCACCCATCTCTACGTGAACCACCAACGCTCGCTATCAAATCTCCAAATTGCAGACCGATAAATTGCAGTGTTTTCTTCTTTCCATCTCAGTGTAAGTCCACGCGTCTCCACGTGCAATTCCATGTTTCCTTTCATTTCAAATGCTATAGTACGAGAACACATGCGGTGATGTGGCCCGTCAGTGAGGATTCTGGTGGTTGAGATCATGTGGGTGAATAATGTGTGCAGGATGGAGCCGAAGGAGGGCACGTGACCAAGAAATATATCAAATTAAGCTTGACAAGTCATCGGATTCCTCCAGTATAAATATTTTGATTCTAAAGACGGGCATGGGAGTGGCACCCCAGAGGTCGGCGACTAAGGCGAAGACCTCAAGCCACGTGGTACTGGTGGTGCTGCTGGTGGTGGTTCTGGTGTTGCTGTGGTAGTGCAGGTGGTGCTGGTGGTGCAGGTGCGGTTGTGTTGGTAGTGTTGGTGGTTCTGGTGGTGCTGGGAGTGCCCGCTGTGTTAGTGGTGGTAGTGCTGGTGGTGCTTATAGTAGTGGTAGTGCTGGTAGTTCTGGCAGTGCTGGTGGTGCTGCTGATAGTGCTGGATGTGCTGGTACTGCTGTAATGTGAGGATATATCCGGCTCAATGACGTATCACAACTCGTCATGATGATTGGCTCTGCCGGTCCTGGTTTATAGCCAATGGGGGGAAGCCTAAGGGCGTGGCCCTGACGTAATGGAAAGGTGACAGCTGTAAGTAGGGGATTGGTTCTAATGGCTTTGGCCACAGCCAATGGGAACGTGAGTCAGGGGCGTGGTCCCGGCAGCTTACGAAGGGGCCTGGAATATTCCATGGAGGCTAACCAGGATTGGGGGAAACGTACCACGTGACCCGGGTATTAAATAGGGGTGGAGACGAACGACAGGTGGTCAGAACGGAAACGAACAGAGGAAGGGGGCCACGCGGGAGCGGGGCTCCGGGTTGCCACGTGGCAGTGTCTCTCTATCTGTCCCTCTCACGCTGCTGACAGGCAGCGTGAAGGAAAAGCTGTATACAAGTTGAATAAAAGACGGATTCCAGAAGTCGCCTCAACGAGCTTTATTACACTGCTAGTGGTGCTGGTAGTGCTGTTGGTACTGGTGGTGGTGATAGTAGTGGTAGTGCTGGTGGTGCTGGCTATGACGGTGGTTCCGAGACTACTGGGGCGGGTTGTCATTGCGTCGCTTATCACGACGAGCTCGCGTCGCCATCAAGGAGACTCTGCTCGTGGACGAACCGCTCACCCATGACCCCAATTTGACTCTGCCACGGGAAAAAAAGAAAAATCTAGAGCGGTGTTGCGGGCACCTCTAGCTGTGTGATTGCGCAAAAACAAAGATCGACAAACCTCACCCTTTCACCGCCCCCCTCCCTCCGCGCTCCAGTACGAGACCAAACAAGTTAATAAGTAAAATCAACGCGGTGGGGTTTTTTGGCATCGTTACCAGACGCCCTGCCAACACGTGGCGCTGGCACGCAAGCGAGAACGACGCAGCAGCAACTCCGTAGCTGCTTCTGTGCATCTCACCTCTGTCCACCCCCACAGCCTCCTTTGTCTCTCCTCTCTCCGCACTCCGCAATCGCTTTGCATGCCCGCACGCACGCGTGCAGGCACAAACGCTGGTTCTTCAGGAGGGGTATTGCATCTATCCAAGTGGGGAGCTGAAGTTTGTATTGGTTTAACGCGCTGCGCTGACAAACCCGGGGACCCGAGTTTAATTTCCGTTCACGGCCAACACCGGTGATGATTAGCTGTACCGGTCCTGGGCCTTCCCCTAGGGTCGACTCTACGAGTACCTGGTGCGGTGTGTAAATCACGCCGCTGGGGGAGTAAAGGCGGCCGGGCGTGGTGCTGGCCACCCTCCCCCTCGTGTGCCGTTCCGGCCTTCATAGGTGTATATTGAAGGCTATACGGGGGATATTTGACTTTGTATTTATCTCAGCACTTCGGCTTCTCGGCCACGGCATACATCAGTGGCGAGAGATGTGGGAAACAGTCATGCACACACTCACCCAGTCCGTCGCCCTGCCACTTCAACAAACCGTGGTGAAGTATGGTTAAACCCCAACAGAAGAACGATTCCTGATTGTGTCAAAATATTATTATCATCATTATATAACGCACATATGCAGGTAGAGTGGAACCTTTCTACGTATATTTTTACAACTGGGACAAAGATAATGGACAAAGTTCCATAGTGAATTGAACGATAATAGTTACATTGAAGGTGATGAACTAGTAAACTCCAGAAACTAGTGCAGTCCACGATTACCCTCGAACGGTATTGGACCCCCGACCGCAGCAAACATGTAAGTGCGAGTAACAGCATAACTCCTGCTGCCAATCTGTAATGACCAATGTTTGTGTAGTATGATCAAACAACTCTGGTGACTAACCCGGTGCGGGGAAGGCCTTTATCGAGCAGTGGATTTAGCGACTAATGGGGATGATCATTGTTATTGTTTTAACGTCTCCCGTTTCGAACTCGTCCAGCTCCTGACTCAGATCTCTCAACGCCTCGCTCTCCCTCTCTCGCTCTCCAAAGAGCAAATCGCGCGGAATGCGCCGGATTTCGTTAGCTGCTGAGTGCAAAGCCGGATCGAGCACGGGGTAGTGCTTCCAATAGGCGACCACCAGGCACAAGCAGGTTGGCATAGATTACAGTTAGTGGCGCAACTCTGGTTGAGGGTATGTGGCAGCGTCATGCGACGCATCGGGGACCAGTCGGCCAAAAGGGAGCCCCGAATCAACAGATAAACGAGTGGAAAAATGTTAATAAAAAATATTCATAAAAAAACATTACCTGCAGTCTATCATGGACCAAGCCCGACTAACGCATTTGGCCATTGCATCAACAGAGCAGCAGAAAGTTGCGCGATCCACCCCTTTTGGGGAAATCCTAGAGCGTTTGGGCCGGTATGAAAGCAAGACGCACGATAACTTAATTGTGAGTATAGTACTCTGAAATATTGTTATTAATACTGTCACTGTGAGACGGTCTTCCTCTAAACCCAATACACGGTGCAACTAAAGTAATATATATATAGTTATAGCCTACATAATATTGTATACGGGTTAAAATGCATCCGTAGCTATTTCAGTTAAAGTTCGCCCGGAGGAAGGAGGGGGTCCACAGTCGGATCTTGCATAGGCCCCCCGTTCTAATAGGAAGCTGCGCCCCTGAGTGCAGTATAGCTACGTTATTGCGTCTAGAAGGCATTCATTTACTGTGCTTCAATGTCGCCAACTTTACGTTTCCCGGCCTTCACCTGCCCACCCTGACCAGCGTGGTGAAGTACGGTCTTTAATCCCCATGCCTGACACGGTGCGCGGAGGTCTTCATCCGGTAGTGAATTGTATAACTCAACATTTTATCTCAACGTTATTCCTCTACAACATTTCATGCCTATAGACCGGTGGTCCTTAACCTGTTGCCCACGCACCCCCAGGGGGTGCATCAAACCTATGTAACATTACATATGAAAAAAAATACAATTGAGAACTAAAGGGGTGCAAGACTGCAGTAAAGGTTAAGAACCACTGCTCTAAACTATCTTCCAATTTCAGATAATATCCACGGTATCTCCCTCACACCTCTCTCCCTCACTCCCTCCCTCCCGCTCACCTTTCCTACTCGATTGCCTACACCCTCCCCTCACACCCTTGAGCAGCCGATTAAAGGTGCTGAAACTTCACAAATTAGCGTCACTAACAATGCCGCTCGCTTTCCGTCAAGTGGCGAGAGGGAGAGCGGAATCGAGTTAAGCGCGAAGGGGAGGAGGTCGTGGAGTGGATCCGCCATACGGTGAATGAGCGGAGCCTTGATTTAAACCTGTGGGTTTCGGTAAGCCAATAATCCGACAGGCGAACAGGTGCGATCGGGCGAATGCACGACTAAGCGAGTGAGTTCACTCACAAGGTTGGTGGGTTGCAGAGTTAGTTTCCGCCTGTGCCAGTTTGCTGGTGATTGAATCGCTGTATGAGTTCGCTGAATGCGCATTAGCTCTGAACTGTTATTTCATCACCCAGAGAAAGTCTCGAGGGAGTGTCAAGACTTTTTGTTCAGGAAGATCGTGCATTCAGATGTTTGGCAGGCAATTTTGTGTACGTAGCTTTGGTAAACTAATACGATACATTTCTCGAGTAAATGCTTGCATTTCTGAAGAAATTAGTGACGAGTTGTAGCACCAAACGCCGTTAGTGAACGAGTCACTTGTGAATTGGTTGTTATTTTGTATAAAAATACGGGCTCATAGCCCTTGAGTGATTATCTGTGAGCGTGTTTTTTGAATGTAGTGAATTGGTGTGTGGTAAAGTAAGCCGTGAGTGGATTGGTAGTTAGTGAATTAGTTAAGATTGTGAGTGGAGTGCGTGTGGTGGGACTTCGGTCGAGAATTCATGCACGAGTGAAATAGTGAACCGTGGCTGATGTTTACGTTTAGGAAGTTATTGAGATCGCGAATTAAAGTGTTCATGTACGAGTGAGCCGCGTGGCTTTAAGGGTTAATGGGGGGAAACCATCGATTGAGTTGGCGTGCGAATTAGCGAGTGAATAGCCGAGGTTATCCACAGTCGTTTAATGATTTAGCAGAGAGTGTGTCGATAAACTGCTATAAACCACTTGGACCGGGGTTAATGGTTATTAAGCCTGTTTAGTGAGTTAGTGTATTAGTGTCAGTGAACAGGCGAGTTAATGAGTAAAAAGAGAACACACTAAAATGCGAGTGTAAGCTGGTGAGTGGGTTGGTTAAGCTTTAATTTTGGCAATATTAATTCGCCAATTTGATGTTTCATCAAACAGTAAGCTACGCATTTTCTACAATTGAGAAAGTTTGAGTTGTAGTCCTTGTAAGTTGACATTAGCAATGCCGTGAGTGTTTGGCGTGATGCTGAATGAGTGTTTGCCATACTTATTTCATTTGTGTTTGACTGACTGCATTGTCAAGTGAAGTTCACAAATAGCAACTTTCAATACACAAAATATATACTGCTCCTTCTCCAACAACAATAATAATTTAAAACATCACAATATTAACGGTACAACTAGACGCAAAGCAGTTTAAAATTGTACTTTAGAAAAATAATCTCAACTTGTTCACGATTTTAAATCGTTGAAATCGTAAAAAAATAAATCTGTTGTAGTGACACGGGTAGAGAAACGGCGAGAAGGCCCTTGGCCAAGATGCTCAAATGGTGCAGACTGAAGCTGCGGGGCGAATCCGGCCCCGGGGCCAGGCGCAGAGGAGACCGCCTTGTCTGCAAGGACGGACACTGCAACATGGAGCTGGGGAACCTCGCGGCCGGCGGCCGGCCCCGCTTTGCCCTCCTCGTGGACTATTGGACCACCATGGTGGAGCTGCGGTGGCGCTATAAGACCGCGGCATTCCTGCTCGCCTTCCTCGGCAGCTGGTTCCTCTTCGGGCTCATCTGGTTCGCCATCTGTCGCCTGCACGGGGACCTGCCCGGGTCGCAGCCGCCTCAAGACCATGTCCCCTGCGTGGTGAACGTCCACGGGCTCACCACCGCCTTCCTCTTCTCGCTCGAGACGCAGGTGATGGCTAAACGCGCAGGCCACACTGCAGATGACCACTCCATGATGCACAGGTCATGGTAATAATAATAATGCTACTACAATAATGCAATTGATCCAGGAACGTGTTTATGACCATTCGTCGCTTGACCCCCCCGCCTCTTGCATCTATCACGAACCAGGTCACCATCGGCTACGGCTACCGCTACGTGACCGAGCGGTGCCCCGAGGCAGTCGCGCTTCTCGTCCTGCAGTCCCTCTCGGGCGTCGTCATCAACGCGTTCATGTGCGGTGCCGTCATGGCCAAGATCGCCGCCCCCAAGCGCCGCGGCAAGACGGTGGCGTTCAGCGACCGCGCCGTGGTGTGCGTGCGGAGCGAGCGCCTCTGCCTCGTCATCCGGGTGGCGAACGTACGCAGGAGCCTGCTCATCGGCTCGCACGTCTACGGCAAGCTGCTGCGGACCACGCCGACCCAGGCTGGCGAGACGCTCATCATGGAGCAGAGGAACGTGAGCTTCTCCGTGGACGCGGGCGCAGGCGACGCGCTTTTCTTCATTGCGCCGCTCGCCATCTACCACGTGATGGACGAGTCCAGCCCGCTCTTCGGGCTGTCCCGATCGGATCTGAGTGGAGGGGACACCTTCGAGCTCGTCGTGTTTCTAGACGGGACCGTGGAGGCGACGGGCGGCTCGTGCCAGGTCCGGTTCCATCCTCCCCCCTGCACCCCCGGCTCTCCTCTCTTCACTCAACATGACAGTCTAATGGATGGGGATGGTGCAGTGGGGGGAGTTGCCGAGGGGGGGGGGGGTGGTGGAGACTGTGGCATGAGTAGCGTAGGCAAGAACATTTTCGAATGTGTGACGAGATACCAGGGATGCAAGCAACTATGGGGGGAGGGGGGGCGGAAGCGTTATGCGACGTGGAGATTGCCCAGTCGGCCATGAAGTGGGCGCCAAATCGACAGATAAACAAGTAAATCAACATGAAGAAAATGTACACGTAAAAAAAATAAAATTGCAAAAAATTTACGATAAATGCCTAAAAAACATTTTTACGAATGAAAATTTATTTCAGAAGAATACCTCGCGTAAAATCGAGTAGCGCTATTGATGGTGTTTGTTTTCTGAACACCAGGACTCTATCCTAACTACATGCGCATGAAAGCAAGATGCACGACAACGTAATTGCGTGTTGTACCTTTACATCTTTATTATTAATACTCTCACTGTGAGACTGTCTACCTATCAACCCACTAAACGGTGCAACTAAAATAATATATATCTTGATTTGAAGCTTTCGTGACTGCAGGAATCCATACTCTTTGGTTCTTTCGGTAAAGTCACGTAGTTGTTTTATTTCTAACTACGTGACTTTACCGAAAGAACCAAAGAATATAATATATATAGTTATAGCCTACATATTATTGTATACGGGTGAAACACCATCCGTAGCTATATCAGTAAAAAGTGAGTCGGGAGAAAGGATGGGAGCCCGCAGTCGGATCTTGCATAGTCGCCACGTTGTAATAGGAAGCGGCGCCCCTTATGGGGAACATCAGCACAAGCATGAATGCACAATGTGAAGCAAATGCCTTCCTCACACCGCGTTGGCTCGAGGCGCGAACACGTCGCCTCTCTCTCTGTATCGTGGCCTGAATCACCTGGAAAGGACAGGGACCAGTGGCCTTGATGTGTGTGTGTATGTTGAACTTCTTTTGCAACGTACGTAGCCAACCGTGCTAATCAGAGGTGCGCGAGGGCTGCCGTACTCACAACAAAACGGTTAGAACCACTGGGTCAGCCGACCATCTAAGTCGGAGCAATATTTGAATTGGTCCCAAGGCATCAACCCTTAACCACACCGGCATTGACCAGCGTGGTGAAGTATGGTCAAACCCCCCCCCCCCCCGACGACCACTCGCACGGCGTTGGGGGGAGGAGGTCGTTGCGCAGTGTGCGGATTGACCCCAGGGTCGTGCGCGCAGACGCGGGCGTGCGGGCACGGGCGCCACGCGGTGCGTCTTGACTCATCGTGGTGCACTTGTGATGTTACCGCCAACCGCGCGGTAGTCTCGCCATCCACGCACTCGCCATCGCTACCAGAAAAGCTCCACGGTCGTGTGGGGGGGGGGGGGGAGCTCAGCCCCGGGGAAAACTGCCTGAGGAGTTGCGAGGCTTTGTAGGAAAAGAGCCGCCGCTGCTTCTCTGCTCGTGTCGCGTATGGCTCTGAAGGAGCGAGCGTCGCATCTGCTGCTATAATAATTTACATTTGTCAGACAAATTTCATCCAAGGATCCCAATGCACCTCGTGCATGGAAAGCAGTAAATAAAAGAGAGCCAGCAGCGTAAACAACCAAAACTATGGGGGAAAGGTCATTTTAAAGAGCTGAGTTTTCAAGGAAGATTTAAATAACTCGAAAGATTCTGATCGTATTATCATATTATCAGAGACAACGCGTTCCATAGTCTTGAAGCTGCACTGGCAAAATTTCGATCACCCCAGGAATTGAGCCTTGACCTCGAAATACTAAGACAAAAGAGATCAGAAGATCTAAAGGACCTCATTGGTGGTGTATATAAATGTGACCAGTTCCTGTCAGTAATGTGGGGCTAACCCATTGACAGCTTTGTAGGTCAATAGCAGGGACCTTATAATCAATTCGATATTTGATTGGTAGCCAATGCAAGGACAAGAGAACGAGTGTGATGTGCTCACGAAATGGGGTTTGCGTAAGCGTTATATAGCCGCTGCCTGCTGGGTATTCCCCGGTCACGCACGACTCATCCGCTCTGTGTGTGTGGGCCCGCTCTCTCCCAGGTGCGCACCTCCTACCTGCCAGACGAGATCCTCTGGGGCCACCGCTTCCTGCCGATCGTATCGACCTCCAAAGACGGCAAGCACAGGGTCGACTTTGGCAACTTCAACAAGTCGGTGGAGGTGGACACGCCGCACTGTGCGACGTGCATGCAAGGAGACCAGAGCGACGACAAGGTGGACGTTGAAAATGTGGGAGAGGGACTGGATAACCCAGCGTTTGATGTGACTTCCGTGGTCGACGAGACGAAGATGTGAAGGATCATCTTCATCAGCAGCAGCAGCAGCAGCAAATGCAACATTTTCAGCAGCAACAAAATAATCATCAACAACAGTAACAAAAAAATATAAATCAACAGTACCACAAGCGTCATCATCATTAGATGTAGCAGTAATAGCTGCAGCAGCAATGTATGGATAATCATCATCAACAGCAACAGAATCACCATCAACATCAACAGTGACAAAACAATACTAATCAGCAGTAACATAAACATGATAATTAGATGTAGCACTCATAGCTGCAGCATTAGCAAAAGCATCATCGTCAGTATGTTTGTGTTATCATTCAGGTCGTGGACTCTCCCTGCTTAAATGCGATTTTAAGAGGTTGCTCATCAATAGTAGCCCTAAACCAGTGGTGGGTATTCCACATTCCTATGGCAGGGATCATTATCGACTTAATGTGCACCATTGATACTTCTCCATAGAGCCGTGCTTCTCATTTTATGGTCCTGGGAGGAGCGATGGGTTACGTTGACTCCTACCAGGGGATTCAACTCGCAAGCTTCCGACTCCCAAGCAGATCATAGTGAGCACAGAGACACGCCATGGGTGTCTCATCCTTATCGTGATCTCCATCAGAACCACAATGTGTCTATCTGAATAAGGGCGCCACGGTGGCGAAAAAGGCGCCATGGTGACTAGGAGATGTTAACTACCTCACCTGATATACGGGATGCGTGGGTTCGATCCCGACCCTGGCACCTGTATATGTGGAGCTGTGCATCTTCTCCCCGTGGTCGCGTGGAATTCTCTCCCCCGCCCTCTGGTCTTTCCCTCCACATTTAGAATCAATGTGCGTTTAGAGTATTTGGCTACTGCTATACCATTCCACGTGAAAAGACACTTAATTGACCTATGCTTTGTGATAGCTAGTTCGCTTCTGAAAAAAAGAGCTACATCGCTCAGTGAGCCTTACCTAGTGTGTGAATCCACTGCTTTATTAGGGCTCTCCTTTAGCGTCGTGTCGGTTTTGGTATTTGTTTTGACCTTACTTCGCCACGCTGGGGAGTGCGGGTTTTGAAGAGTCGGGCGCATGACATACTCAGGTATCACTTGCCACTGACGTTCGCCAATGGGTTCGTAGTGCAGTGTTTCGCACACACTGCCGTACCACATCCATCCAGTGTTAGGGATCACGATACCAGGTCACGGTAGTCACAGTACGCATAGGTTAGAATATTATACAATCCACGTGTGGGAGTGCGTGTGCCACACGAGATTAAAGCTTCATTCAATGAGAACAATGTGAATGTATATACGGACACTCAGGAGAGCGATGTCGCGGCTCAGTGACGTCACTATGAAGTTAATTTTTCGTCACGTATTCTATGGTTCCTCTAGTCTTGCTTCGAAATAGGAACCACGTCTAACGGAGAGGGCCCTTGCCTATTGATATTTAACAGTTCACTCACATTGGTTCAAGCAAGACCAATTCTGCTCATGAGATACTGCATGTCTAAATCAGTCCAGAGCTTGCGTAAAATCAATGCTACTGAAATGATGGCCTCCCAAAAGCCAGTGTGACTGATGGGATGTGGAAACACTTTTTTCTCACGTGGATGGACAGGCGTGCGAAGGAGGTGTGTCATCTGCTTGTTAATTCTGTGACTACGGTTTAATGTCGGCACAGAAACGGCGCGAAAGTGTTACAGCAGCACCCTTTACAAACTATTTAAAGTAGTTTTTTTTACATAAATAACAAGACTTCACATATTAATAAGGTGCAGCGTGTACAGCATTATTTGGCATGTGTCGTGACGAGTACTGCAAGATCCGACCATGTCCGCCCAGTACTCGCTAAGCTGCTTTTGCTGCCCGGTTGCTGAACGAATACATTATAAGGTTGCACTCATTATACACAACGTGCTTGCCACAAATTAAGCACAATACCTTCCTGATCTCGGTAAGGAGTGTAAACCATTATGTGAGTTGTGGTCATTCTCGCAGTGGCTTTTGGCTCGCCATTGAACAATGACGGTCACCGCATCACGCGTTTTCAGATGTGCTTTTGCGGCCGCCTTGAACACTCTTCCTTCCGATTTTAGGAAGCCACTGGAACTATGCACCTTTAAATCTATATTGAAAACGAATTTCTTTATAACTGTTTTGGTGTTAAGTTTAATACTCTCCCCCACACCTCCGATTAGCACGGTTGGCTACGTGCAGAGCGAAATAAGTTCAACCTACATGCATGTGTAGTGAGTCATTCAGAGACACTCTTTAGGAGGCAACAACATTTATTTATACTTAGGCAACACCGTTACACACGGGACTAAATACACCTATCTCTCACTCTTGTTACACACGGGGATAGAATACACCTATCTTTCTCGCATACGGGATAACTATAATCGAGTCATAGCAGCCAACGCGCTGTCTGACCCACAATGTCGAAGACAGAGACAGAGGCGAAGACATAGCACTTGAGTTCCACTTCACCTGCAGACAGCCCCGATATTCGATCGGAGCTTCCCTTTCATCCTCATCGGTGCGGCCTGGCTCTACCCTCGACCGCGCCTACCTGTAGAATGTTCCCAAAGGTTCCAAGCCACCTTACACCTGTTCCCTCTCTGGCTCCGCCCTTAACCCTTGCCCCCTTTGGGAACTCTCGAGACGTTTTCCCACCACTCTTCCCGTGTCCCCTCGTTCACCTTTGGCCCACATCCCTCGCCCCGGCCCATCACGTGCTTAACTCGGTGCCGGGGTGACTCGTCCTCACATACCCCTACTGCCAGCCGCTCCCAGCACACTCTCCAAGCGACCGGCTCTGCGCAACCACCTGCGGCACTAGCGGAGGCTGCTATCCCCTACTCTGTCGGTAGGACTCATCTAAAATCCTTCTGCTCGCACCCAGTACCATGCCCCTAGTGGCCTACTTTGTGGTACTGCATGGTGTGTTATCCTCTGTGCCCGTTTCTACGGCACTTGGCGCTAGACCGTAGTGATCCATTTAACATCACTACACATACATATTAATAGCGCATTCGTGTATCTATAAGAGTCGTTTGTCGTTTGAATCGCGTTTTGATTTGTTCCACGGGATATGCCCAACAATGTCACTGCAGTGCACACATTATTATGATGATGCATGTGCCTTTGGAGCCATTCATGCGCTAAGTTGCATGGTGTAGGCCTATCAAATCCTGTCTCCTCCCACATATGCAGTTACTCACTAATAGATTGGGCCAAGCATCCCAATATAGGACAACAAAGCTTGGACAATTGTTTATCAGCGGTTCTGGCTTCCTCCCCAGCTTGTTTTTGATATCCCGCATCTCCGTGACAAAAACACCACCCAGCGATACAAAACTCCTACAGCAGAAATTTGAGACGCGATTTGCACGGACGATGCAGTAGTGAAGATATATATCTGGGACCTTTTGGCCAGTATCCAAAATGATGAAAAATGATGAAAAATAAGAGTAGGTTTTACCCTTTCTGGCAAAAAACAGGAGGTATTAAGATGTTAAAACACCAAATAGATATCTTTATTTGAATCTTTCGTGACTGCAGGAATCCATACTCTTTGGTTCTTTCGGTAAAGTCACGTAGGTAGAAAAATATAATGAAAAATAATCTCGCTCATTAACACAACTGACGTGCTTGCGTGCGGGGATGGAATTCCTTTCCAGCTCAGACCCCGCTTGCTTGCCCTTCGCCACATATATAACGTCTTGTTGTAACATCTCTCTCACTTTGTTTCTTTCTGGTTCAGTAGTGCCACTGCTGGATTATTTTTTCTGCCTGAGGACGACCGCTTGTGTTGCGATCGAAACGTCGTGATATATTATTATTATAATTCTTTCTACCTACGTGACTTTACCGAAAGAACCAAAGAGTACAAAATAGATACATGTTTCAAGACATCACGTCTGCATTAACCACACGTACTTGTGTCAATACATGCAAACAAACATACTCTGATAATATATGCATTGTCTTTGAAACTGATTGGCCTACACCAGAGGTAGCCTTCTTTATTGCTTATTTGGCAAAACCCTATTATTATTTATCATCAGTAAAGATGCAATTATCACGAACTATATTTTCGATATGAAATCTGTTTCTATATAGCAGAAAAAGCGATTGCGATGTCGTCGGCAATACCTGATGCACGTGGTGAGCATGACGTAACCCCGTTAGGCCACGTGTCGCCGGGAAGTGATATTTAACGGTGTGGGAGTGGCGACACCTCAGTGATGTCACAGGAGCGCTTTAGAGACGAGGCATCGCAGCCGTGTAGCATCCCGCCCAGCCACCCAGCCCCAATAGTCATGTCCAGGCGATGCGAGCCGTTGAGATTTTGCACCATCTTCTTCCCGTGTTCTGTTAAAAAACAATAACAGGTACGGCTATTTTAGTACACACAATACGACAGAAAGGTACAAGAACAATTGGCTTGCATAATGTGCATGCAGAATGTATGTTGATTCCCATATAAATAACCCCACCGGCAATGGATACCCATTGTCATTTATATGCATTCAGTAATCCCCCCCCACACACACATCGCTCAAGAAGTGCTCACAAGTGATGCCATCACATCTACCCCTCTATTTAAGGAACAAAACAGGAGGATTTCTCTACAAATATGGCTGTCGCCTGATGAAGCTAGATGTAATTACTGGTGAAACATTGTACTCAGATTATAAATGTTGTAGCTTTGCTCTCCAGAACACAGGTGGGCTGTACTAGTAACGAATTGGCATGTTCTGTTTATGTGACACACCTTACTAATTGGCTGTGTCAGGTGGTGGCGGGTTTCACGGCACATTTGTATATCTACCTAATCTAACCCAAAAAACCTGGAGCCAATTCTTACTCAATGAAAGTTAGCACTGAATGCATTGGCAGAGACGCTAATTGTATTTAGCACGCAGGCTTTCGCGATCAATATTATTCATTTAAAAAGTTATTTTGGGTTAGATATTTATTTTTGCACACGTATTTCACTGCAGCTACACGTTAATGAATGCACAATACTCTCCTGTACTTTCCATTAAATAAATTGATATCTTATCTGAAAATGAAAACGAATGTCTCATTTGTATCAACTTTCAAATCACTGTTGTGTATGCACAATATTAAACACAGACTAAACAATATGATCCACCTATAGCTTCATATATATGTAGAATATGACTTCTGGACACCCCGGTTGTTATAGAATCACACGGAGACTAGATTCTTATTCAGGGCTACTCGCCGTTTATTCACTCCTCTTCCTCCATTCCACTCGCACTCCTTCTCTCTCTCCACACCTCCACCCGTGGCGGGCACTCGCTATCCCCCGTCCCTTTCTCCTTCCTCACTCCATCTCTCCCGAGACTCACCCTCACGTCTCCCGAGGCTCCCCCTCACGTCTCCCGAGGCTACCCCTCACGTCTCCCCCTTTTCCCCACTACCCTGGACGTCTACACTCCAACTCCCCTCTCTCTGACTCCCCCTGCCCTTCTGGCCCCCCTTTCCTATCCTTTCTCTGGGGCTCCTCCCTTTCTGCCCCTCTTCCCGTGCTCGCCTATCGTAGGAGCAGACAATGCGGGGGAGGAAGGGGGCAGGGACAGGTGGAGAGAGAGAGGGGTGGGGGTCCAAAGTGAGTGGGCGGGAGACGAGAGCTGCGCAAGCAAAACGAGCAGTGCAAACAACACGCTAATGCAGAAGCAAAACAATGGGGGAGTTGGGAGGAGGTGTCCTTGTGCAGCGCAAACAGCATGGGCGGGGCAGCCAGTCAACCAACCATAATGTAGGAGCAGACAATGGGGGGAGGAGGGGGCAGAGACAGGAGGAGAGAGGGGGGCAGAGATAGGGGGGGGAGAAGGGGGGCATTGCACCTCGCTACACACATTCACACTGCTGACGGTAGAGGTTTACAAGAAAACAGAAATCAAGTCATGACCCACAGTGGTTGATGACATATTTCCAATGATTGCTGAGTTTAAAACCGTCGTCTCGGTTGAAATTGTGTCTGTGTCTATATATATGGATGGCTTAGTTTCCCCAATGTAACTGCTGCCGCAAATACAGCTTAGTTTGTCGATGCCGGGATATTGCATGTCAGGAATCTTGTCCTTCACAGATGGGATCAGGTCATGAATTTCATATACTGTGTTAAATCGGACCTGGATCTTGTGTTTGTTCAAGATTTTGGAAATCTTTTTAGTTATCCCTGTTATGTAAGGCAAGGTTATGTTTTTTTTTATTGGATCTTCAGATGGCTCCTTCCTCACGGTTGGGAGGATGGCTTTGCGGATTGTGTAGTCAGAATATAAATTCGCCTTGAGAGCCTGGTGTACGTGTTTGAGTTCACTGATCAGGTGTTCATGGTTGGATATACATTGAGCTCTATGGTGTAGCGTCTTGATGAGGGAATTCTTCTGGGATGGATGGTGGTGGGAATCAGATTTTAGGTAGGCGTCAGTATGGGTTACTTTCCTGTTGGCACAGTGGATCATTGAGCCATCTGGTCTCTTTTTGATTAAGACATCAAACAAGGGTAGCATGCCATCCTTTTCTACCTCCATGGTGCATTTGATTGCTGGGTGTATGGAATTGATGTGGTTGAGGAATTGTTTCAGAGCCAGTCGGCCATGTGGCCAGATGACAAACGTGTCATACACATACCTCTTCCACAAGGACGGGCGTAGAGTGGATGCCTGGATGGCGTCTGTCTCAAATTTTTACGTGAAAATATTGGCCACAACCGAAGATAAGGGATAACCCATTGGAGTGCCTTCAGTTTGTTTGTAGAATGTTCCATTCCAAGTGAAGTATGTATTGATGAGGTAGTGTCTCACCAGGGCTGGTACATCAGCATTCAGTCCTTGTTGAACCAAATTTTCAATTTTTGCAATAGCATCGCGTACAGGAACTTTGATGAACAAAGAAACTACATCGAAACTAACGAGCAAATAATTTGGGGACAGTGAGATGTTTTTAATTGACCAAACCAGGTGAGCTGAGTTAAGAACAGAAGATATGGTCTTACCAGTGAATGGCTGCAAGGTCTCCGACAGATATCGGGCCAGTTTGTAGATGGGTGAGCCAATGGTGGACGATAGTACAAAGGGGTTTACCTTCTTCATGGATTTTTGGTAAGCCATATAGTCTGGGTGGTCTAGCAGCAGAAGGTTTTAAGGAAAACTGTTTGGTCTGTTCAATTAATGAAGCTGAATCAGTGATGATACTGTTCGCTTTTGTAATGAGGCAGTTGGTGGGATCTCTTTTAATTTTTGTGTAGCTACCATCATTAAGTAGGGCCTGAATGTTGTTATTTTACACGAGTTTGTCCATGATGACCGTGGCATTGCCCTTGTTGGGAGAGAGGATGACGATATCTTCCCTCTTTTTAAATTGAAATGACTCAAAGCGCTCCTCCTTATTGATGTTGCTGACTGGTATCTTAGCGCTTTTGAGGGTTGCAGCGATTTCAGATCTTGTCACGTCTGCAGCGATGTATCCCAAACCTTTAAGAGCTACATCGACCTGATCAATAATATCATCTACTGGTATGTGTTTGGGGGTGACTGCGAAGTTAAATCATTTATCCAAAACCGACTTTAGACCATCGTAAAGTAGGCTATTACTCAGATTGATAACAACTTTGGCAAGGTCTAACTTTTTATTGCATGGATCTGGTTTCTTCTTGAAAAGGAGGCTGAATTTGGAAATCAGATTATCTTCATATTTAGCTAACATTGTAGCGGCTGAAAAAGCGGTCATGTTATTTATATGTCTTAAATCAGATGTAGACATTTTTTTCTGGCAATGTTAAGTGTGATTTAAAGAGTGTCTTGTCTAAATTATCAAGTTCAAATCGGAGCAATCCTATTCTCTCTGAAATTAGTGATAGGCTGGCTTTAAACACGATTCATTTAGCGTTAGGAGAAGTGACAGCAGCAAATGTGAGTTCAGTGCAGAGCAGTCTAATTCTCTCAGAGATCAGGGCCAAGCTAGCTCTAAACAAAATTCGTTTGGCATTGAAGGACTACCTTAGAGTCGCGGCATCTCTTCAGAAAGGTGAGTGACTCGATCAGATGAGCTTTCTTGTCTCGGAGTTTGTTAAAAGATCTTATGGTTATGTGGAAACCCTCCCCGTAGAGGTTGTAAAATTTTGACTTAAAAACTTTCGTAACTGCAGGAATTCATATTCTTGGTTCTTTCGGTAAAGTCACGTCGATAGGAAACAAAAAATAAAAATAAAAATAATGAAAAAAAATAAAGCAAATAAACAATTGAAAATAATGAAAATATAATCTGCGTGGTCTAGCAACCGAAGTTTTTAGGGAGCTCTGCTTGGACTGATCGATTAGAGAAGTCGATTTAGTGATGATATTGTTGGTTTTTGTAGCTAGGCGGTTATACAGTGAGGGAAAAAAGTATTTGATCCCCTACTGATTTTGTATGTTTGCCCACTGACAAAGAAATTATCAGTCTTTAATTTTAATGGTAGGTTAATTTGAACAGTGAGAGACAGAATAACAACAAAAGAATCCAGAAAAACGCATGTCAGAAATTTTATAAATTGATTTGCATTTTAACGAGGGAAATAAGTATTTGACCCCCTCTCAATCAGAAAGATTTCTGGCTCCCAAGTGTCTTTAATACAGGTAACAAGCTGAGATTAGGAGCACACTCTTAAAGGGAGTGCTCCTAATCTCAGTTTGTTACCTGTATAAAAGACATCTGTTCACAGAAGCAATCAATCAATCAGATTCCAAACTATTCGACCATGGCCAAGACCAAAGAGCTCTCCAAGGATGTCAGGGACAAGATTGTAGACCTACACAAGGCTGGAATGGGCTACAAGACCATCGCCAAGCAGCTTGGTGAGAAGGTGACAACAGTTGGTGCGATTATTCGCAAATAGAAGAAACACAAAAGAACTGTCAATCTCCCTCGGCCTGGGGCTCCATGCAAGATCTCACCTCGTGGAGTTGCAATGATCATGCGAACGGTGAGGAATCAGCCCAGAACTACACGGAAGGATCTAACACACTATGTCGTGAAGGACTGAAATCCTGCAGCGCCCGCAAGGTCCCCCTGCTCAAGAAAGCACATATACATGCCGGTCTGAAGTTTGCAAATGAACATCTGAATGATTCAGAGGACAACTGGGTGAAAGTGTTGTGGTCAGATGAGACCAAAATGTAGCTCTTTGGCATCAACTCAACTCGCCGTGTTTGGAGGAGGAGGAATGCTGCCTATGACCCCAAGAACACCATCCCCACCGTCAAACATGGAGGTGGAAACATTATGCTTTGGGGGTCTTTTTCTGCTAAGGGGACAGGACAACTTCACCGCATAAAAGGGACGATGGACAGGGCCATGTACCATCAAATCTTGGGTGAGAACCTCCTTCCCTCAGCCAGGGCATTGAAAATGGGTCGTGGATGGGTATTCCAACATGACAATGACCCAAAACACACGGCCAAGGCAACAAAGGAGTGGCTCAAGATGAAGCACATTAAGGACCTGGAGTGGCCTAGCCAGTCTCCAGACCTTAATCCCATAGAAAATCTGTGGAGGGAGCTGAAGATTCGAGTTGCCAAATGTCAGCCTCGAAACCTTTATGACTTGGAGAAGATCTGCAAAGAGGAGTGGGACAAAATCCCTCCTGAGATGTGTGCAAACCTGGTGGCCAACTACAAGAAACGTCTGACCTCTGTGAATGCCAACAAGGGTTTTGCCACCAAGTACTAAGTCATGTTTTGCAGAGGGGTCAAATACTTATTTCCCTAATTAAAATGCAAATAAATTTATAACATTTTTGACATGCGTTTTTCTGGATTTTGTTGTTGTTATTCTATCTCTCACTGTTCAAATAAACCTATACCATTAAAATTATAGACTGATCATTTCTTTGTCAGTGGGCAAACGTACAAAATCAGCAGGGGATCAAATACTTTTTTCCCTCACTGTACTCTGTACAACATTTTCGACGATACTTATATAGCAGAAAATCCGTTGTCAGGACAGATCACGATGCCCTGCAGTTTTGCCTGCGCATAGACCAACCTGTGGAACAGGTCACTCGATGAAAAGTGATATTGCATAAATATCAATACGAAATCGTTTACCGCAAGGGTTCCAAGCACACACATGCTGATGTCTAGGCGGTCCCAATATTCACAATGTACTTACACGTCGGGCTAGTTGCAATGCAAAAACACTGAGAATAGCCGAAGCGATAATTACAGCTAGCCCGCAGGAGGGCAACACGCAAGGAGACATTTTAAGCGACTATGTACTGCAATTGACGACAGGGACATGGAAACAGTTGCAGATCCAAGATCGTACACTAACGGCCCTACGGGAGAAAAGTGTACCGATAACAGGAGAGGGCGGGAAATCCAACAGCGCAGAATTTGAACTCTATAATGACTCTTTATGAAATGGGACACGGCGACCCAGCACCGTCGATTGGTTATGCCAACATCACTGCGGGAGACACTCGTTAACAGGGTTCATACAGACAAATTGCTCCACCTAGGGGTTAACAAAACAGTGGTTAACATAAAAGTTCACTACTTTTGGCCAGAGATGATGCATCCAAAAAAAATCTATGAGTGCGAATAAAGGAAGCCCCCGCCAGAGAAGGTCATTCCGCCACTGGAGTCGGGTACACATTCCTGCGGAGGGAACTGGTAGGATCGTTGGGTTACTC